GCGCGGCCGTGTTTGACGCGATCAGCAACGTCTCTCCAGTCGCCTCGTCCCTCGGAAAAGTGTGCTCTGTTGAGGTGCCGGCCTGGCCTCACAGTGCCGAGATGGGTAGTTGTGCGCATCCCTCGGACGCGCCGAGGCTTCTAGTGTGACCCGTTCGGCACGGAAGGATGTGGGTCTACGCGTTCCCTTCAGTGGCATATCCGTAGCACTGAGGGGCAAGTTCCCAAACATCCGGAAGTGCACTCTGGGCGGTTCAACGCGGTCGAAGCCAAGGCAAGGCCATGGTTGAAGCAATCAGCAACGTCTCTCCAGTCGCCTCGTCCCTCGGAAAAGTGTTCTCTGTTGAGGTGCCGGCCTGGCCTCACAGTGCGGAGATGGGTGGTTGTGCGCATCCCTTGGACGCGCCGATGCTTCTAGTGTGACCCGTTCGGCACGGAAGGATGTGGGTCTACGCGTTCCCTTCAGTGGCATATCCGTAGCACTGAGGGGCAAGTTCCCAAACATCCGGAAGTGCACTCTGGGCGGTTCAGCACGGTCGAAGCCGAGGCAAGGCCAAGGTTGAAGCAATCAGCAACGTCTCTCCAGTCGCCTCGTCCCTCGGAAATGTGTGCTCTGTTGAGGTGCCGGCCCGGCCTCACAGTGTCGAGATGGGTAGTTGTGGGCATCCCTCGGACGTGCCGAGGCTTCTCGTGTGGACCGTTCTGCACGGAAGGATGTGGCGCTAGGTGTTGCCTTAATGGGCATAGCCGTAGCACGAAGGGGCAAGTGTCCAAGCATCCGGAAGTGCACTTTTGGCGGTTGAACATGGTTGAGGCCATGGCGCGGTAGTGGTTGAGGCCATCAGCATCGTCTCTGCAGTCGCCTCGTCCCTCGGAAATGTGTGCTCTGTTGAGGTGCCGGCCTGGCCTCACAGTGCCGAGATGGGTAGTTGTGGGCATCCCTCGGACGTGCCGAGGCTTCTCGTGTGACCCGTTCTGCACGGAAGGATGTGGCGCTAGGTGTTGCTCTAATGGGCATGGCCGTAGCACGAAGGGGCAAGTTTCCAAGCATCCGGAAGTGCACTTTTGGCGGTTGAACATGGTTGAGGCCATGGCGCGTTTGTGGTTGAGGCCATCAGCAACGTGTCCCCTGTTGCCTGTCCCTCGGAAAAGTGTGCGCTGTTGAGGTGCCTGCCTGGCCTCACAGTGCCGAGATGGGTTGTTGCGGATACCTCGGAATTGTCGTGTGTTCATGTGTGGCCTGATCTGCACGGATGGTTTTGGTAATATCTTCAGGCACGAAGGGTCAAGTTCCCAAGCATCCGGAAGTGCACCCTGGGCGGTTCAACACGGTTGGAGCCATGGGGCGGTCGTGGTCGAATCAATCAACAATGTTTCTCCTGTCGCCTTGTCCCTCGGGAAAGTGTTCTGTTGAGGTGCCGGCCTGGCCTCACAGTGCAGAGTTGGTTTGTTGCGGGGATCCCTCGGAATTGTCGTGGCTTCTACTGTGGCCCGTTCTGCACGGAAGGTTGTGGTGCTCGGTGAACCCTTCATGGGCGTAGCCGCAGCACCATGGGTCAAGTTCCCAATCATCCGGAAGTGCACCCTGGGCTGTTCAACACGGTTGGAGCCATGGGGCGGACGTGGTCGAATCAATCAGCAATGTTTCTCCTGTCGCCTTGTCCCTCGGAAAAGTGTTCTGTCGAGGTGCCGGCCTGGCCTCACAGTGCAGGGTTGGTTTGTTGCGGGGATCCCTCGGAATTGTCGTTGCTTCTACCGAGGCCCGTTGTTCACGGAAGGTTGTGGTGCTCGGTGAACCCTTCTTGGGCGTATCCGCAGCACCATGCATGGGTCAAGTTCCCAAGCATCCGGAAGTGCACCCTGGGCTGTTCAACACGGTTGGAGCCATGGGGCGGTCGTGGTCGAATCAATCAGCAATGTTTCTCCTGTCGCCTTGTCCCTCGGGAAAGTGTTCTGTTGAGGTGCCGGCCTGGCCTCACAGTGCAGAGTTGGTTTGTTGCGGGGATCCCTCGGAATTGTCGTGCCTTCTACTGTGGCACGTTCTGCACGGAAGGTTGTGGTGCTCGGTGAACCCTTCATGGGCATATATGCAGAGCACGAAGGGGCGTAAGTCCCATAATCTGGTAGTGTGTTGTGGGTGGTTCCCATGGCGGAAGCGAGGGTCTTGATTGTGGCCTCTCAGTGCAGGTTTGGTTAAAGATAAGGGCATGTGACACTGTGTTGCTTGTTGGCTTGTGACTCTTAGAAGTGTGTTGGGGGGTCTGATCTGGCTCACCCTTCAGAGTTTAGGAATTCACGCAGTCCCTTATTCATGTGTTGCATCTGGAATCACTTGCCTCATCAAGATTGATATCTTGAATTTTTGGTTTTCCACTTTGCTCTTCGAGGGTTGTGGATCCGCAACTTGTGTGTGCGATTAGTCGAATTGGTGCAAAGTCCACGATACACACATAGTCCCTTATTCATGTGGTGCGTGGCCTAGCCTATGGCACACTCACCCA